CTCATCTTTATCAATGAAGGGGAAATAAAAATAAATGGTTTTCAGTTATAAAAAGTAAGCTTTGCACGAGGAAGAATTTCCTTAACATAAACATAGCTGTTTGTATGTCCTTACATGATTATCTTATGAAAAGTTTAGGCAAGCACTAGGGATGTTTCAAGTGGGTTTCTTGGAGTGGGGAATTGGACTGGGCTACAAGATCCACCTGGACAGACCCAGCTGTTTTCTGTTCACTGAATGTATTCTACTGTGATTATACATCTGGTACATTGTTGAGGAAAGTTCCTAATATCCTGTATTCTCCTAAAGTAAATGTTCCATTGTACAGCAGCTGCCTGTACATGAGACTATCATTAAATTAATTCAGCTTAAAGTCTAGTGGTACTACCTGTTTCCTTCTGTGATTCCAGGTTGGGTTTGTTGTGCTGAGGAAGTAAAATATTTTCTGTTGGCTCCTTTTTCTCCCCCATTGGGTTCTCCAGTTGCATGTCCTATCATTAAATCCAAAGAGTCTGCAAATGGACTTTTTGGGTGTACTGCGGGTTGGTCCCGTCTCTCTCTGGTGTACTATTAACGAGAGCAACAATTTTTTGTTCATTTCCCCCCGGTTAATAACATCTGTTTAAAATCATGGAGTGGGGGACTGATTTCTCCCAGAAGTACCTAACTGTTCTTTTAGAGGTAAAACACCGTGACATCCTTTTCAGAGGCAGAATGCCAATTTGTGTTGTGTTTGTTAGGTGAAAAAAAGGACAACATATTTGTTTGCTTTGCTTTTTGTGGGAAGAGTCTGTGCTTGAAACTTGGAGCAGAAGCATCTGGGATGCTAACTGTGATCTGTGTGAAGGTTTTAGACTAAGTGATCATAGTCTTTTTGCATGTTTTTATCCTTACAACACTCCACTCCCCACTCCCCCCTCGCTCCATTCGCTGGAACTGGGAGTGCAACCTAATCAGAATGCTCATTATCCGTCTTGGAGGACCTGCAGTCTACTGTACTCAGGTTTTTAGAATAAAACTTGTGCACTAAGATAACAAAGTGTATTATGATCCCACATAGCTGTCCTGTCCTTTTTTGCCTTTGGTTACTCACCAGACACCGATGTGCACTTGGGAAGGCTTGGACACTTACAGTGCAATCCAAAGCAGAGCTATAGTCCATTGAAGTCGGTGCTCTTAGAAGGGTTGTAACTATGCTTAGGATTACACTGTTATTTTCTTGTCTTGGGGAGGGCCACTGAACCAAAGTACACGAACCTATAATATGTTTGAATTGGTGCTGTCCAGTGTTGCTCTCCTATATGAAGGCATTGCAGCTGAAGATTCCATATTTTATTTATTTATTTATTTATTTTTGGGATTTATATCCCGTCCCATCCAGTATTCAGCTCGGGGCGGCTTACATAAGTTACATTCATTGTTAAAGTATTAACTTGAAACTTTTAAAGCTCAGAATACGTGAGTTACAATCATATAAAACCTATTTCCATTATGTATTGTGGATAAGGTTCACTGTCAAGCAAGCAAAGTAAAAATAGATGCCGGGTCACAACTGACCTTCAGAACTGTTTTAGTACTTCTGATGGTAGAGTAATAATTAGAACATGCAGGGTCCAAAGTGGGTGTCAGGACAATGTTTACAGGCATGCGAAATGAAACCCAGTCTCCAACTCCCTCTTCTGTCAGAGGAGGAGACCAGAAATTCAGGGTCAGTTTTAGCAAGTTTTACTGCAGTGGTATCTGTGGCATACCCTGTTCTGTTTTAGTTTAAAGAAACAAATAGATGTGATCCTTTTGTAAGATAACGTGCAGTTTTGGAGGGTATTTGTGGCTTTGTTTTATACTTGAATTTTTTTTTTTTAAAGATTTTTCGTGAGATTTATACCATGAGACTGCACAAGGAAAACTGCATATGTAAATGTGCCCTGTGTTAAAAGTATCCAGACTGGCATCTCAAGTCAAAAGGCTTCTAGTCTCCTCTTCTTGATGCACTGGCTTGGTGCAAGCCTTTAGACAAGAGATGCTCCACACATGTATCTGAAGGGGTTCAGTTCATAGACTTTGCCCTCCCTTAGCTTTGAACTGGTTGCCAAGGAACTGAAGTTTGCAAACATCCCTCTCCCTGTTTAGAAATGAGTGCATTTTCTACTTGGAGAGAAGGGTGAGAAAGGGGTGTGTGTGATGTATTCCAAGATTCCGTGGACTTTTGACTCAGTTGTCATAAACTGGACTGTTAATAGCACACAATCTGATTAGTTTAGAGTGGTAAAATAATGAATTTGTGCTGGGTGGTATACATTTGTTACTAAATACAGCCAGGGTGGGTGGACTGTTAATTTGTTTGAAGTGGTACAGGTTGGTTGTGGGGGCATTTATCATGTGCAATTTTCCTAGTCTTTCCTAACTCCCATAATCTCCATAGTGCAAAAAAAAAAAAAAAAAAACATCGCTTCTTCCCTTGATCTTGCCTTTTGATTTTTCATGCCTTGTATATAACCATCTGCCTCTGGAGATGACCTCCAATACTGCACCTGAAGTGGACTGGTCAACAAAATTTTATGCTGGAATAAAATTTTGTTGGTTTTGAAGATGCCACTAGATTCCTACTTGGTTTTTCTGCATCAGGTTAATACAGTTGACCCTCTCGAAATACTAGGGATGATTAAGGGTTAAACGGTTCCCCAGTGAAATCGGCAACAAATTAGGTGTAAAGGGGGGGGAAAAAGGAAAGGTCCTTTATGAATCTGATGTTAATGTATAGCTTTTCCAACTTGGTGGGTGTTGGCTGAGAAAAGGATGTGCTCCTCTTATCGCCTATTGCCACACTGCAAATCTTGTTCTGTTACCCAGGGAAAAATTTGTGGACTGCCCTAATCATTAACTTGTTTCAGTGTGCTATGTGCTAAGAGGTCGTGTGTGAGCAGAAACAGCAGATGGAAGTGATGAATACAGGGAACTGGGGGGAAGTTTGATATTCAGGCACGCATGTTTAATATACCTTATTTCAGGTTTCTGCAATCCTAGTCCTATTACACTGTTTATTAGATGTCTCTTCATCCTGTTGATGGTACATTATATAATCTGCTCTGAGTCTTAGTGAGAAAGGCAGACTATAAATAACAAATTCCCACTGCAGACACTTGTTTCACCGCTCACACTGTTCCTGGGGGCCACTGATTCTCAGGAGGGGACCATGATATGCTACCATGGGTGGGGAGAAGTTAGAAGGTTCCCTTCAGTGTTCATATAGCATAGGATCCAAGCCTGTGTCTCTGTAATGCCATATGAGACTTAGAATGAAAGATGCTGAACAAACAAATGGAACACTCCTGGTATTGGCTGATCATATTTTTAAAAAGGCTGGTTTGAGCATATCCTTCGGAGCCTAGGAAAGTTGGCGCTTGGGTTTCTTTTCATCTCTGCTTGTGACATTTTTAGCACAGTCCTAAGAACACCTCTTTTTTGGAGTAAACTCATTCGAACAAAGACCTACTTAGGATTCCTCCTTGAATCTTTTATCTGCTAGCTGTTTTTAACATTTGAAATGGTGTAAGTCATCTTGAGATACACTGTACTGAAAGGTGTCATAAATATTATAAAATAAGTAAATAGTTTTGTTTTCTGTTCATTTCTTCAGTCTGCTAGCACTTTTGTATTCCTATCTCCTCTAATCCTCCTTTCCCAGCGGTTTATTCCCCTCCCCTCCCCGCAATTAGATAAGCCCAGGGACCCTTTAATCAGACCCCAGTGGAAATAGTAATTAGGGTTCATGTTTGGGGCAATATTTATTTTAATACCCAGTTAATTGTAATTTCTAAAATTCTAGTTTGGCTAGATAGCTATGGAAATGTCAACGGTATTGAAGACAAGCTATTATAAATGTATTTTACTGGTAGAGCTGTGTCCTTTTGCTCTTACCAGGAGTGCTCAAAGCAACGTACAGCATTTGAAAGGGGATTTTAGAAAAAACAGGTAAATCCACTGTGTATTTCTAACTTTATTTAACTTGTTGCCTTCTCAAAGAAACCATCCCTCCTGCAGTGATGTCTTATTGTGCTACATGAAATAGCTCTTTCAAAGCAAATTCTCTGGACTAAAAATGTAACTTGATTGATAGGTTTTAATGGATGTCATTAACCTTCTGCCTGCCTGCCCTCCCTCAGGGAAGAAGGCTGCTATGGATTCCAGCCCCTTTCTGTCAGAGGCCAATGCAGAAAGAATTGTGAGGACCCTTTGCAAGGTTCGGGGAGCTGCCCTGAAGTTGGGCCAAATGCTGAGCATTCAAGGTAAGTGCAGAGAGCTTCTCTGATTATTTTGTTCTTTTGTTCTTTTTGTCATTTGTCGTCTCATAATGTACATACTTGAAGGCATGGAAGAGCTAGGAAGCAGCAGCAGCACCTGCAGTAAGACACACCCACCAAGATCCACCTGTGGATAGGTCTGAAGTACATCTTGTTTCTAAAGGGCTGTATCTAGTGCTAACTAGTTTCCAAGTTACCTGTCCTTTAATCAGCTAAATGTATTTACATATTGTAAAACCTTGAGAAAGCTACCTTATCATTCTGAATGCCTAAGAGAAAGTATAGTTACCTTTGTACTAACTTTGTTACTAACTTTGTACTAACTAGTTACTAACTTTGTAGTAACAACTTTTTTCTAGAAAGATGGTTTATTTTCACTGATACTGGGGATATGGTGTAGTATTGTAGTGACATGGCAAAAAATCCCCCCCCCCCCAATGCAGTTCCTCGCCCAGACCTAGCTAGACCAGCCAAGCCCGATCATCTTGTCAGATCTCGGAAGCTAAGCAGGGTCGACTCTGACAAGTACTTGGATGGGAGACCTCCTTGGAATACCAGAAGTGGGAGGTGGGGTCAGGCTTTATTCAGCCACCTCTCTGAATATCCTCCAGGCCCCCGGTAGGGGTCAGTCATCAGAGGTCGCCATGACTTCCAGGTGCACACACACTCAGATGCACGCGTACACACACAGACACAGACACACACACACACACATGAAAAATACAGAAAACGCACAAAAATGCAATGCCTCTTAGTAACGTAGAAGATCTGGATATGAGAGATGCATTGTAACTGATTTTTGTTGATATTGATCAATTCAGGTGCTTGCAATTTGAAAGAAAGCTATAGTCCCTTGAAGACACAACTAAGAAGAATTCTGAGGTTGCTTTGTCTTCAGAACTGATGTAGAGAGGGAAGGGTAGATCTTAAAGGTCTAAATGCTTCCAGATCCTGTAAAAGTCTTGGTTTAGAATCTTGTCAGCCCCTCTGATTAATTAGGGACAAGGTGTTAATTTGCAATGGAAATGATTGTTGATTAATGATAATCAGCTAGAGCCTGTAGTTCTACCTGTATAACTTCTAATGTGACTAAATCGTGACTGCACATTCTGAATCATGCATCCCTTACATCCCTTTGACTGGTTAATTTCTTCCTTTTGCAGTGCTTTATTTAGGCTAGGAGTTATCTCAGTTTGTCTTATCTCCTCTGTGGCGATTTTGCATAGTTTTGCCAACTCAGTCCAATTGTCTGTCACATTCAGTTGTCAAAGTGCACATCATGGCATAAAAGGAAAATAGAATCTTCTTGACACCGACAGAGCTGTGTGCATAGATGATCCAGAAGTGGCTTAAATAACATAGGTGTAAGATCAGGAGTAACTGTTCCACAAGAACAGAGATACCAGTGTCTCTGGCAGTTTGGTGTAGTGGTTAAGTGTGCGGACTCTAATCTGGGAAAACCGGGTTTGATTCCCTACTCCTCCACTTGCACCTGACTGGATGACCTTGGGCAAGCCATAGTTCTGTCAGAGCTGTTCTTGAAAAAGAGCAGTTTCTGTCAAGAGCTCTCTCAGCCCCACCTACCTCACAGGGTGTCTTTTGTGGGGAGGGGAAGGGAAAGGAGTTTGTAAGCCGCTCTGAGACACCTTTGGGTAGTGAAGGGCAGGGTATAAATCCAATCTCTTCTTCTTCTTCTTATTCTTGAGTGTTTGTGTGTAACCATATTTCTTGCCAGTAATAGCACAACATTGCCAGGACTGCTGGAGGCTTTGGAGAAATAAACACGACCTAGAGCTCAAGCAATTCTAACGAAGCTGGTGGGGAGGAATTAATTCTGTTATTCCTTTAAATATTGCTGTCCCCATGGAGGAGAATACTTTTTTGTATTTCTGTAGCAGTCCAGGAAGACTCCTGAGTACCTTGGTCTGTTAATCAGACGTTGATACAGCTTGCAAGCTGCCACCTGCTTCCAGTTGCTTCACTCTCTGAAACTTGCTAACTGGTTGTGGTATCTTGCCCAACTTAGCCAGCTGTGGGGAAGGAGCCCATTAGGGGATAGACTACAACAGCTGTCCCTTAATTACTGTAAGGGTGGATTTCAATAGCTGCTGTTGCTTGGGGTGGAAATTTTTTGGGCTCCAAGAGTAAACAGTGCTTTCTGGAAGTGCTGTTTTTCTATCTGATGGTGATCTGCTGAATTCAGCTGTGTGGAGATATTTTGGGGGGCAGCTAAAGAAGATCATTCATAGGACAGCAATACAAGCAGATGACTGGCTAGTTCCCCTGTAACGTTCTGGGATCAAAAGTACAATTCAAACATAATGATAAATGGGGGGCTGTCATTACAATAACAAAGAAGTCATCGGGCTCCCCTTTCCCTATATGCACTGCTTGGGAATTAATTCTGCATTTACAGCAAGCCATAACTTGTGATGGCCAGGTTGTTATCTTCTCTCAAAACTAGAATTAGTCCATCATTTGGAATCCTAGCTCAGTGGGAAGAATTAAACTTTAGTTTTGATTCTGATACAGAATCAATCATTTCTGTGAAAGCAGAATCAATCATTTCTGTGAAAGCAGAAATGATTTCTTTGTGAACCATATGTGAAGGTAGGAGGATTGAGGAAGGAATACTCAAAGCCCAATGAATTTCCAGAGCCTGTTCCTTATGACTTGTTCCCTGTGACTTGTCACTACATGTAAATCATGTCACTGGATTCTTTGGTTGGCAAAAAACCCCCCCCCCATATCCCACATAATCTAGGCACCTGCTGTGATGCAGGATATCAAAAACCTAAAGTACAGCCTTTTGTTGAAAACCTCCAAGGATAGAGACACAAGCAGCCTTGGAAGAAGCTTCCTTACAGGGCTTAGATGAGAACTATAAAATGATTGCTTCTGTTTCTCTTAGGAACAGTCACTTTTGGAGAAGGAGTCTTCTCATTTCCCTCCCTGAGAAGTCAAACTTTCAGCGTAGCGCTCTTCTCTGCCTATCTTCATTTAATCTTCTTTAATCTTGACTAAATGTACACAGCTGCTTCAGCCTTCATTCATAGAACTTTTCTTGAAGATTCCATAATATCTTTGCAACCTTTTCCATCTTTGGGAATCCCAAACTTGTTCCTTTGCTTCTGGAAGCAGGGGTGAATAATGCACAGAGTAAGGAACATCATTTGGACTCCATATGTCCCGCTGTCATGCTGTGCGCCTGCAGGAATAACTGCATTTGGTAGCAGAACTCAGCATTCCGGGTGTCTCAGCTTCAACAAAGTTCTTTGATTCTTCTAAGCTGCTATGATATGCTATGACCAGTGCCAGGGATGTCTTAGAATACTCATTACTAAAAATCCAGATACATTACTCAAATTAATGTATAAATTCTATCCAAGCCATTATATTCGGTTGCTTTAGTTTTGTAAAAAGAATCTGACTTGCCCATTCTTATTGGAATATGCTGGGCCCTAAGTATTGCGGGCCAAAAAAGAAAAGTTGTTTAGGGCAGGGTTGGCAAAATTAAGTAGGTTGATATGGCTCTTGAAGCTGACAAGTACTACTGAGGCCGGAGGCAAGACATTCTTGGAGGTGATGGATAAGCTCTTAGCTGTGTGTTAAAGACTCTCTTCTTCTGACTACCTCTCTGGTCTCGTTCTTTCTTCCTGGAAGATGATGCCTTCATCAACCCTCACCTGCAGAAGATTTTTGAGCGTGTCCGCCAGAGTGCAGACTTCATGCCTTTGAAGCAAATGATGGTGAGCAGATTTTGGTTTAGCTATGGTTGGAAGGGGGATGGGCCTTTCAAATGGCCAGACTTGAGGGAAGTGGATCAATGGAGAAATGGAAAAATGGAAAATGCTGCATAGTGGTTCCTTACACAAGCTTTCTGCTGTTTTGGGGTCCAGCTAATAGACCCAAACCCCATCCCTCTAGCCTGCTCCATGATCCTTTGTTAGGATGCTCTGTATACCCTGCATATCACTATGTCTATGAAGTCTGGCTGTATGCTTCAAGTATCTTGCCATTGTATGCAAGTCAGTAGCCAGTTGCATTTATTTCTGGCTACCCATACCTTCTGGCATTTTAAAGAAGAAAAACAATGCATATATTATAGCTATGCTGAAGTGAATCTCTGTTCTACTAGGTGTGTAGTAGAATGTGGCAGTTTCCTACCTGGGAAAGTAAAATGATATGTTCTTCTTATAGAAAACTTTGAACAATGACCTTGGCCCTAACTGGCGTGATAAGCTAGAGTTCTTTGAGGAGCGACCCTTTGCTGCAGCCTCAATTGGACAGGTTCACCTGGCTCGCTTGAAGAATGGCACAGAAGTTGCCATGAAAATCCAGGTGGGCATACTGGTTGCTGTGCACTTGGCAATTTATGGCACCCTTCTTAAATCTCAGTTTAAAAAGGAAGTACCCCTCTCAGTTTAAAAAGGAAGTGCATCAATTATTTGAATTTAATGTAAGCAAAATGGAATTGTACTGAGGATCCCTCGTTAATAGGAGAAACTGAGAACTAAGAAGAAATGATATATGGGGTCTGTAATGACCCCGGTGTTACAGGAAACCCCCAGATATTTAACTTGTACATTTTTCTGATACACAAGGTTTTGGAGAATAAAATATCAGTCCTGAAAGATTAACTTATTTTTACTGCTGTATTAACATAAAACAGTTGTTGTGTTAATAGGAGGTTTCATCATCTGTGCGGTCATTTAGATTGAAATGCTTTGACTGTATGTGTGATTCCTCACCCCCCCTTCAGTTTAACTGGCAGGATCCCACTAAGGCCAATCCTTTTTAGTTAAGTTATTAATTTTGTTTGAAAAGTTTGGATGTGCACAAGTACACATGCTTGAAACAACACAACAGTTGACCTCCTAAACTGTGGCAGAGTAGCATGTATATGAAGCGAGACATGCTTTGTGGGGAAGGGATGAGAAGGCTGTGTGGGGCAGCAGAAGGAAAAGTGGGGCCAGAGGGGTGAGTGGGATTCCCTCTCCCCCCATGAGGTCCTCACAGATTCCTGCTTATATATTTTAATAGCAGCCCAGAACGTGGAGGCCCCTGTCTCTTCTGTTAGCCTAGAAAAGAATACTCCGTTTTACGGAGAACCATTCATCCCACACGTGTTAATGTTTATGCGGTTTTAGGAATAATTCGTGCCTTGATCTGGGTGGTTCAGGATAGTCAGATCTTGGAAGCTAAGCAGGATTGGGCTTGCTTAGTATTTGGGAGACCACCAGATATAGTCCAGGGTTGCAATGTGCAGGCAGGCAGTGGCAAACCACTTCTGTTCATCTCTTGCCTTGAAAACCCTATGGAGTTGCCATAAGGCCATAAGTTTGCTGCGACTTGACAGCCCTTTCCACCACCAGGAATAATTTGTGGGAGGAAGTCCCCCATCTGGAAATAATGGTGCTGCTATTAGCCATAATTCTTGGTGGTTCACTGAGTTGTTAGTATTCATCATCTTTGAATTTCTTGCAGAGTAGATAATTTTGGAAGTACTATATGAAGGGAGCCAGTGTGATGTAGTAGTTAGTGTGTCCAGCTGATGTCTGGGAGACTTGGATTCTGCTGTGAAACTCACTGGATGTCATTGGGCCAGTCGCACTCTTTCAGCCGGACTTAGCACAGGATAAAATGTAGGTGGGAGAACCATGTAAGACGTGAGCCCCTTGGAGGAAAGGCCTGAAAGGTTGGGACCTTGACTAGGTTGCTTGGGGGGTTCCTGTTGCAAATCCAGGCCACATTAAAAGTGCTGGAAAGTTACTATTGTTGCAGCTGTTCATGCCAGTCTGCTATCCAGAGCACAGGTGTTAATCTGTGAAAGCTGTCTTCCCCCCCCTGCCCCAGGAGGGGGAGGTGACCTGAGTTGTTGATTTCTCAGGTTGTGTTTCAAATGTATCAGCTTGGAGTTTCTGAGATGCACATCCTGTACTTTGGATAATCTCAGTGAGCTTGGAAAATGAGTTTGTTGTTTGTCTCTCTTCTCCACTCAAGTGATTAGAAGACTACCCAAGGTGATTCTGTGTATCCCACAGAAAATAAAAAGACATTTTGGAAAACGGCTTAGAATAGAGCCTTATCTGTTTTGAATGTCTTTCTTCTTCTTTTTTTGGTGTATGAACCATTCTGTAGTGGTTGTGGGCACTGTTAGTTTTTGTTTATTCATTAGTTTGTCACATGCTTCAAAATGGCACTTTGTTTTGATACTTAGACCTACAGGGATACCAAGAGTCTGCAGGTTGGGGGCTCAGTTAAGATGATCCACTTCTTAGCCTAATGGATCCAACTGGTTTTCAGATGGCATTGGGTTGTTTCCCTATTGGTATGGTATGGTGGGTGTTCCTATTGAAGCCCTGGTTCACCTTTGGAATGAAAAAATGACCTGTTTAATTGTCACTCCTAGGCACCTTCTCTCAGGTCTAAGGCAGCTTCATGTGTTCATGTGACATCAGAGGCCCATTGGGTTCTGGTCTATGGAAGAAAATGGACTACCTTGCAGCTTGCTGAGATCACTTTGCTCAACACTTTGCAGATAAAATTGCTTGTATCCATTCTGACTTGAACTCTACAGTAACAGTGACTGGATGGTCTGAGGGTGCTGTCTTGTTCAGTTGTGTGGGACACCTGTCAGCTTGTTAATTTTGAGGATGTGGACAGGATTATTGGAAATTTAGGCTTACCACTTGATTGTATGATCCTTGCCCCTCCTGGCTGCTTAAATCTGCTGGGGGGGGGGGCTGGCAGACTGGGCCTGGAAGAGTAAATGCCTCCCTGTGAGAGGAGGTGGTTGCTCATGCCTTGAAGTGGGCAGTGATGCATCCACTCCTAAAAAACCTATTCTGGACCTAGGAGAGTAGAATAACTACTGCCCAGTCTCAAATGTACTATTCTTGAACAAGGTGATTAAACGAGTGGGGGCTGGACAAGTTCAGAGAATCTTGAATGAAGCAAACTGCTTTGATCCATTCAGTCTGGTTTCAGGCCCCTGATTATGGGTCTGGAATGGCCTTGTATGCCCTGGTGGATGACTTGTGCCGTGAGATGGACAGGTAGAATGCTTTGGCTGGTCATCAGGCTGCAGCTGTTCCTGGGCAGGAACGGTCTTGCCACTGGTGTTTGCCCTGGTAATATCTGGATTAGAGTACTGAAGCATGCTCTATGAGGGGCTGCCCTTGAATACTGTCTGGAAACTACAGTTGGTACAGAATGCTGTGGCCAGAACTTTGACTAGAATGATCATAGGGACCATATCATTCCAGTCTTGTCCCATCTATACTGGCTTCCAGGCCCAGTCCAAGATGCTGGTATTGACCTTTAATGCCCTGTATGGTTTGGGGCCAGTATACCTGAAAGGCTGCGTACTCTCATATGAACCTACCCAACCACTGTGGTTATTCAGAGGTCCTGCTTTGGATGCCCTGCCATCTGAGGCTAGATGGGTGGTGCCCTGAGAAAGGGGTGTGCAAAAAAATAAAAATAACATTTGGCCCGATTCGGATTCGGCCGAATCGGGCAGAATCAATTTCGGCCGGCATTTCGGCAGTAGGAGCAGATTCAGGTGTCTTTCCACCAGCCGAATGTCAGTTTCAGCCCCATTATATCCTATGGGGCATTGAAGTCAATGGCGAAAACATAGGGTATATTCCGGGGGCTGGAGGGGAGGGGATTTGAGGGAGAGGCTCCAAACTCGCAGGTTAGCTGCTGGAGCCTCTCCTCAAGATACCAACCAAGTTTCAAGAACATTAGACCAGGGGGTCCAATTCTACGGGCCCTCAGGTTGCCCCTATGCCCAATGGAGGGGATAGGGCAGCCTGTTTAGGGGTCCGTAGAATTGGACCCCCTGGTCCAATGTTCTTGAAACTTGGTTGGTATCTGGGGAGAGGCTCCAGCAGCTACCCTGCGTGTTTGGAGCCTCTCGCTCAAACCGCCTCCCCTCCAGCCCCCAGAATATACCCTACGCTTTCGCCATTGACTTCAATGCCCCATAGAATATAATGGGGCCGAATTGCTGCCGAAATTCTGAATCGGCCTGCAGCAGCCCGAAAGGGGTCTGAATGGGCCATTTTCGGGGGTGCATTCGGTTTGGATGAACCGAATGCACATCCCTACTTCTCAGTCATGGTGCTGAAACTCTGGAACTTGCTTCCCAGGGAGACTCACCTGTCTCCACTGTTGTGTTCTGTCAGTGGGTGAAGATTTCCTTTGTTCTGCCTGACATTCCCTCACTAGCTCATATTAGTCTCTCCTCCCTGTCTTGTGTCTTTTGATATGTTTATATTATGTTTCTTTTAAAGATTTTATATTTCTGTATTTTAAATGCTTTCTAAAATCTGTAATGTTTTAATATTTTGTTTTAATGTTCACTGCTTTGGGGACCCTGAATTGCATAAAAAGGCAGCATAGAAACACTTAAAAAAAATTAGTATTGAGAAATTGGGGACTTAAGGAGGCAGACCCTTTAAGTGGGCAGGGCTGTGTTTAGATATTGGGTTCAGATGATTTGCTGCCTGACTGTGACTTTTCATTCCTGCAGTATCCTGGTGTGGCCCAAAGCATCCACAGTGATGTCAGTAATCTGATGACTGTCCTTAGTATGAGCAACGTTCTCCCAGAAGGTAAAGTAGTTAGAAACTGTAAGAGGAGAAGGGGGATGGCCGTGGGAGGAAAGCAGCAACATTGGCCGTTTTGGAGTCTTAGTTGGGTGTGTGATTTTTGTGTGTATGTGTGCCTGCCATGCACATTAGGTCCAGAGCTAATTATTTCCTGTCTACAGTGAAGTTGCTCCATACTCTTCACTGTGGGGGAAGATCTGACTGGTGAGAGAACAGAATTGCCCCCAAATCGGTGTCTTCATTCCAGGAAGAGCTAGCATAGTGTGGTGGTTAGGAGTGGCAGAGTCCAATCTGGCAAACTGGGTTTGATTCTGCTCTCTTCCACAGGAAGCCTGCTTGGTGACCTTGGGCCGGTCACAGTTTTCTCAGAACTCTCTCAGCCCCACCTACTTCATAAGGAGGAAGGGAAGGCGATTGTAAGCTGCTTTGAGACTCCTTAGGGTAGAGGAAAAAGCCGGGCATAAAAACCTATTCTTCTTGCACACAGTAGTGAGGGAGTTCTGCAATTGTGCTACCATTGCTGGATGGTCATCAGTGCATTGTTAGTGGTTTTGATTCTGGGCAGGGATTGTTGCTGAAGTTGAGGGCGCATGGATTTCCAAAGAACCCCAGCTTCTGCCTCTTGGCTTTCGGGCAGAGATCTGCAGCTGCTGCAGGTTAAAGTAGGGACATGTGTATTGGATCTCAGCTGAGCTTAATTTTTCCAGCAAGTCCTCACCTTCTTTCTCAAACAGACTCTCTGTTAACATTTCACTGGGTTCTTCCTTTTTCAATTTTGCCTCTAGGTCTCTTCCCTGAACATTTGATTGAAGTTCTGAGCAGAGAATTGGCTCTGGAATGTGACTACAAGAGAGAAGCTGCCTGTGCGAAGAAATTCAAGTATGTTTACCCTGTACCATCTTCTTCTATGCTGCCTTCATTTTAACATGTAATGGTTGATGAGGCTCTGGGGAAGCGCATGCTTGGATGTGTGTGGTTATTTGGGCAAGCCATGAGTTGGTCACAACGTGATGGCATATAATTATTATTATTTATTATTTTTGAGCATAATAAAGAGGACCAGTGAGGACCGTTCCTCCTTTGCAGAAATCCCTGACCACATAGAGGCTCTTAACTCTGTTTACTGTCACCCAGGGAGCTGCTTAAGGACCACCCATTCTTCTATGTCCCTACTGTGGTGGATGAACTGTGCAGTCCGCATGTCCTGACAACTGAACTGGTGTCTGGGTTTCCACTGGATCAAGCAGAAGGATTAAGCCAGGAGATCCGGAATGAGGTACTGTCTCCCGTTTCACCTTGTAGGTGGAGATGAAAAGATGTTCACAGAGCAGGAGAACACTGCTGTCTGTCTTGTACCATTTTGTCAGAGGACTTACAGGTATAGGTAAGCAGCTTGGGACTAAGCTAAACCTTACAAGGAACCAGGAGACTGGAAAAAGCAGCTGCTTACCTATGCCTGTTCTTTGAGTGGTCATCTGTGAATTCACACTGGGCTTTGCATCTGTGTACAGCTATGATTCAGAAACTCTGAGAAGGCTTTTAGGCATGATTATGTTTCCCCCATAGAGATATAACTTTGGACTGCAGTTTCCTTTGTAATGCTGCTAGTACAACTGAAGGAATATTTGTAAGGGAGAATTTGCTGCAGAGGTGCTTCTATCCATCCCAGAGTCCTTTCGACATGACTTACTGTCTCAGATTTGATGCTGTTGGCAAGTGGGGTTTTCTCTGATTCCCTACAGCACTGTAGTACATTTGTGCACCATCCAGTTTTTCGCTGGTTTCTCTGTGATCTTTCTCAAATCTGCTTTGCTTCAAAACCTTAGGAAAGATGGGTGGCTGCTATATGGGTGGAAAGTTAGGAATTTCCTGGTCCCCACCAACACTGCAGCCTTTTTCCGTGCCACAATGGCCATTCCTGGGTTGGGTGAAGGGGAATTTTTTTGGTTTTAATTATTAATTGTCAATTTTTATAACAGTGTCCAGTTTGTGTGCCAGGTCTCTGGTTTCCTATATTTATTTTTTACACATCTCTATCCTTTTTTGTTGTAGAGATGTGACTTTCCCCTTATGCCTGTGCAGTAAAAGGGACTAGAAACTTACTTTTGTTTTAAATGAAGCATGAGAATTCAAAGCACCTGATACAGATTATTAAAACAGTTACAGCAACATTCAAGTTTTTAAAAAACCAGAGAGTCCCAGAAGCATGTAAGCACGGGCTAGTGAGCATGATCACTGCTAGGGGGCTAGAGCAGAGACAATGCAAGGACACATACCACGTGGAAGTCCTGTTGCCACTGCAATATTGGAAGCAATGGGGAAACTGCACATGACAAGTCTCTTGTATAGAGAACACTGTCACTTAAGGGAAAATCAGCTGTGAGAGAGGTATATGCTGATAGGTGTTAAGTGCCCCGCCCACCTGTTGGTTCAATCTTTCAGGTGCCCCCTTTATATAAAAAGCAGATGGACTGCTTCAGACTGCCATTTTCCTTAGCTCATGTAGTCTTGTTTTTTGCATTTATTTCAGACTAGGAATAAGGCCCATTGTGGAAATAAATACAACGAGATCTAGAAAGAGGCTCTGGAAGAGTGCCCTGGCTTTGGGCACACAGTGTGAATTTGCTGTGGCGACCTCAGCAGGGTATAATGACAGAGTCCACTGTTTTCTCCAGAGGAACTGATCTCTGTTACCTGAAAAGCAGTTGTAATTTTGAGTGGTCTCCAGCCCTCACCTGGAGATTGGCAACATTGTTACCCAGGACAAAATGGCTGATTTGGAGGGTGGAGTCTATGGCATTCAACATGTCTGAGGTCCAACCCCTTCGCAAAGTCCACCCTCTCCAGGCTCCACCCCTCAAATCCCCAGGAATTTGCCAACCTGGAGTTGGCAACCTCATCTCCTTCCCAGCTAACCATCAACCTACTGTGATCTGCCCCTCTGACTTCAGCTGACTTCTGCCCTGCCTCCTGCAGAGCAGTTGTAATTCTGAGTGGTCTCCAGCAATGTTCCCTCTAAGCTGTGGAGTCTTGTGAGCAAAAATTCTCCTTTGTGAGCTGTTGGCATTCAAGTTGTGAGCGAGCGATCTGGCTGCTGCACAAATTAGTTTGCTCCGGAGCCCTCCTTTCTGAACTAAGGCAAAAATGTGTGAGCCGGAGGCTAAAAAACTGTGAGCTGGCTCACCCTAACTCACCTTAGAGGGAACACTGGTCTCCAGCCCTCACATGGAGATTGGCAACAATGGTTCCCCATGAGGGACTGGCTGGTGGAGTCTATGGCATTATGCCTGTCTGAGATCCCACCCTTCCTCAAACCTCACCATCTCCAGGCTCCACCCCTCAAATCTCCAGGAATTTCCCAACCTGGAGTTGCCAACCCTATCTCCCTCCCAGCCAGTTGTCAACCTACTGTTACCTGCCCCCTGACTTCAGCTTTCCATCTCCTCCCCCCTCCTGGAGAGCAGTTGTAATTCTGATTGATCTCCAGCCCCTACCTGGAGATTGGCAACAATGATTCCCTAGGATGGAATGGCTGGTTTGATGGGTGGAGTCTATGGCATTGTACCTATCTGAGGTACCATCCCTCCTGAAACCTCCCCCCTCTTCAGGCTCCATCCCTCAAATCTCCAGGAATTTCCAATCTGGAGTTGGCAACCCTATCAGGATTGGCCTCTAGGAGTTTTCTCCCAAAGGCCAAAATAGGTGACAGGACCAAGCTTGGTTGCCTACTAACAGGCACTTAGAGGAAGGACTCAGCAGGTATAATGTCATAGGGTCTACCCTCCAAAGCAGCCATTTTCTCCAGAGGAACTGATCTCTGTCGTCTGGAGAACAATTGTAATAGCAGGAGATCTCCAGGTCCCACCTGAAGATTGGCAACCTTGGGGAAAGTCAGCTGCACAGCAGGGGGTTGAAGTGAATGGTTTGATGGCTGTTGGGCCAAGACTGACAACAATAGTTCCCCAGGAGGAAATGGCTGGTTTGGAGGGTGGAGTCTATGGCACTGTACCTGTCTGAGGTCCCATTCCTCCTCAAACCTCACCCTCTCCGGGCTCCACCCCTTAAATCTCCAGGAATTTCCATACCTAAAGTTGACAGCTTTATCTCCTCCCCTCTCAGCAGCCTCTTCCTAGGCAAAATTCTGTCTTTCTCATTAGCAGGGAGCAAAGCAGCTTACTTCATTCTCTTCAGTTTTGTGATCTGTACAGCAACCCTATAAGGTAGGTTAGGCAAAAAGTCTGTGGCTGGTCCGAAATCACGCAGGCAGCTTCCATAGGGATGCTGAACAGGAGCAAGCAGCCAGGGCTAGTGATGCCATGCCAGTCTGGAGGCATGAAGTCACCCTGAGAGTGCTTGCAGGCCTAGGGTTGCCATTGCCAACAAAGACAAATTGATGCAAAGGAGGATGGAAAAGTCTCCATATCTCTATTTTGCCTTAAATTGGTTTTGATGCCAGCAGAGTGAGAAAATGCCAGAGGCTCTGGGTGGGTGCCCCATCGTAAATGCACCAAACAATTCCTAAAGATTTTCCAAAACACTACTCTGTCGATAAATCGTTTTCTACACTCACAGCGTCCCCTGCCAGAATGCAACACATCCAGTGTTCCCTCTAAGCTGAGTTAGTGTGAGGTAGCTCACAGTTTTTTAGCCTCTGGCTCACAGTTTTTTGTCTTAGCTCAGGAAGGAGGGTTTCAGAGCAAACTAATTTATGCAGGAGCCAAATCACCTGCTCACAACTTTAATGCCAGTAGCTCACAAAAGTAGATTTTTTTGCTCACAGGACTCCACAGCTTAGAGGGAGCCTTGAACACATCCCCAGTGAAGCCCAATCAGCTTCCATATGCAGATGACCTTGAAATGCTGGCCCAATCAGAGAAGAGTGGCCTAGGCTGCAGTGGGTGGGATAGAACTCAGGTAACACAGCTAGTGGATAGGGACAGCTTCTGAGTGACATATCAGGGAGCCAACTGATTTTGCCGGGCATAGAACGTTGCCACCCCAATTGGTTTTTATATTTATAGAGAGATAGCCCCAAAGTAGTTAATATGTGGTGATCAGGTAGTTTCCTATCCAGCTACTGGCCAAGCCCAGGCTTCCTTGAACCTGCACAGAAGGAACAATAGTGGGATTCTCTGTGCTACAAGCCAGTGTACTCCCTTTGTTGTTCCTCCATTTCTGAAAGCCATTTGAGTGAGTGAACGTGACCTTGTGTGTAGGTGACCTGCTTGGCAAAGAGATCGCCTTCTGATGTCTTCTCCCAAGAAAGGGGAATGTATCACTTTCTCATTGCATAAGTAACCAAATATAGGTTACACAGCTGGGCCAGCTCTAGCTGCCAAATGTTGCTGGAAAAGTACCTCTCAGTAAACAAGAGGCATAAAAGACGGGAAGCATGGACAAAAGGGCATTGGAGCTGAATATAGTAAAGGCCAGAGAGTTAACAGGAGGACAAGCTATCCTAGCCGCTGCTGGGTTGGCAAATAGAGCTGACCTGGTATTTTAACGTAACCCATTGGAGGCATAAACATGGCTAACACTTGTTGACATCTCACCGAGGAATAGTGCAGAGTGTCCTGTCTAGAACAGAGGTGTGCACACACACACGCACACACACACAAAATCAGTATTTTTCGGGTTCAGGTATCTGAAAATATTGGTATTTTCTGATATTCCTGAATCCCAGTATTAGTATGGTATTGGGATTCAGGAAATATTCAGGATTGCTGAATTCCATTATAACCTATGGGGACAATTATAGTTAATGGTCCCCATCTATGTATATAAAAGAGAGTCCCCTCACTGTAAAATCAACGCCCAGGCGAAACCACTGGACCTAGAAACACAAAATGTGGGGAGAGTGCTCCTACCATGGCATAGATGCTCACTAAGAAGGGATTTTTAGAAATTCGACCCCTAAGGGGGTCAAAAGGAGTAAAATGAGCTTCCCCCATTGATTCCTATGTGGCTGCAAGGCTGCTGCCTCCTTGCACCCCCCACTCTCTGACTGGTCAGCTGCAGAGCTCAGTGTTCTGAGGTAAAAAAAACCAGTTACAGGAGACTGCACAGAGCTCATGACAGTTGAGGAAATCAGGAATGGCCAACAACCAACTGTGAGATGCAGTAAAGCTGCTGGCCCAGCCTCTCTGATGGCTTCCAACACACTCCCCTCACCTCCTACCCCTAACAGGCAGTTGTCTGTCAGGTGTAGCAGCAGTTGCAGGGTGCTTAAAGCCATGAGGGAGCCTGCCCCAGTAGTAAGGCCTTAGTGATCCTGCTAGCCCCGCCTCCACAGTGGCTTCTAATATTCCTCCCTAGAGATGTAAAATTTCCGGAAATTTTGAAGCTCAGAAACACCCCCCCCCCT